AAAAGGCAGAGTCACTGAGACTAAATGGCATCATCGCCTTACCATTCTTTCGAACTGAGTGGCGCTTGAATGCCTCCTTTTGAGGGAAAGACACGCCCACCATCCTCCCTTTGGTGTACTTCTAATATAGGACTCATAGAGTCGTCTGTATGGGTGTAAGCTCATTTGCATACATAGTACACAGTTTCACTTAAAATGCAATACAACGAATAAAACCAACCTATCGAGAGGTATTCATGCTTAAAACAACAAATTACGTAGCAATAGTTTCGCGAAAAAAGTTAAATATGGTGATATTTTGAAGATATTGGGTACTGGTGTTGCAGATCTGTTTTACATACGTTCAATATACGTTATCTATTCCGTGATACACAATGATATCATGTAAAAACAATTAATCACAATTAGTTAAACGGAGGTAAAGAGCGATATTTAATTTCACAATTTACGTAATGTAATATCCAACATTAGGCCGCTGTCTGATTTCGTTATATGTTCTGAAATTGGTGTATTTTGAAATGAACAAATTTGAAACACCGCGAATAAGATTTTTCCTGTTATATATATAGAAAACAAAAGCGAGATCAATAGAAGACAAGTGTGATTTTCCTGACACGCATGGGCTGTCACACGAACAAAGCTACCTGTAGTAGTGTTCTGTTAATCCCTTTTTCTTAATCTCTTTTATGTATGTGACTGTGCTGTGTGCGTTACGGAGTTTTTATACACAATTGGAGATCCTTGTGCACGCGGGATGGCCGTGTCCTTATATTTTGTTTTTTGTTAAGGAATTTCCATAATATTCTACGCATCAGGTTAAACTATATGAGATGAGCGATCCCAACAGTGCCCGTCTTCAAATACGTTTGTCTATTTTTTATCAACTGCTGTAAATTGCATTTGTATTGAGAGAGAGAGAGAGAGAGAGAGAGAGAGAGAGAGAGAGAGAGAGAGAGAGAGAGAGAGAGAGAGAGAGAGAGAGAGAGAGAGAGAGAGAGAGAGAGGGAGAGGGGGAGGGAGAGAGAGAGAGAGGGAGAGAGAGAGAGAGAGAGAGAGAGAGAGAGAGAGAGAGAGAGAGAGAGAGAGAGAGAGAGAGAGAGAGAGAGAGAGAGAGAGAGAGGTTGGGTGGGTGGGGGACAGGGAACAGACAGAGAATGGCGCGGGAGGTAATTAAATACATGCATAACTTCTTTTTAATATATACAAATATACATACTTATACTTAGAACAGTCCCTCCTTTCATAGACTTGTCCCTTATAGAAGATTTAAATCATAGATAAAATTGAATTTTTATAATTTCGATCTCGGAAAATATATCTAATTCAAACTACAGTAAGATAGCCAGTAAAATTTCATTTTCTCTTTTCAAAAAAAGTCTTTTTTCTGAGTATCGCGACATATGACATAAAGAGAAATCTAAATTACGTCATTCAACGACAAACAAGGCGCTTATATTACTGAAAAAACAGTTATTGGATGATTCAATCTATTATGTAGAGCAACCTACATGTACGAGCTCTATAACTAATCTAGCACAGGTCTATATTATATTATAAACACAAAACTAATGCTAACCGCAAATTAATAAGCTTCGTATTAATATACCTGCTGTATCTTATGCTGTAAGAGATAACCAGTGATAGGGTACACAAGTCGGTCGGATTTTTGTTCTCTTGTTTCTTCTCAGTAAGACCTAGAAAAACGGTCAGTTGTATTCCACTAGATGATTTCACGACGCGACTAAAACTGGCCCCTTTAGGGATTTTCTTTCGCGTCTTCCACCAAGACGACATAAAGAGACAAAAACGAATTTTATCATTTTCTTTCTTTCATTGCTGTTCTTTATTTTAAGTTCGATATTTTTCTTCGCTTTAAATTCAAATTTTGGTGTCCCTCTAGACATCATATGACCCTAGCTATTGTTGGGACGTTCAGCCTCGTAAAATATAAATGTGTTGTAGATAGGCTTAAAACGCAATGCCCATAGTTTTATAATCTGGTGTATTTAAAATGATAAATGATCTTTTTAAAAAAATAAGGACATTACGATTAAAGTAATGAACATGTTGATTTGAAAAAAAAGCAAACGTGTCGCAAAGCGTCTACATCTCTCGGTGCACAAATTCGGAGACAAAACAGGCATGCATGTGTTATCATCTTCCGATCTGCAATCGTCAATATCATCTTTGCTACCATCGGATGTTTACCGTCATATTTATGATGGTGCTGCCACATTTTTCTCGTAAATCACATACTACCCGCCTTTAACAGCGCCCTCTGGGTTCTGATGGGGCGTTAACGACGGGAGGTAATCAGAATTTCTTAATGACCCTCATCTGTCAAATTCATCAATCAGCTAGCCTCCCTAATCGATTATGGTCATCGGTATGTGATGGTTTTGTGTATTTTTATACATGTGTGTTGGCGTAAAGGAGAAATCTCACACTGATATATGCAGCAGATGCGGTGATAAGTAAAAACGAAAGTAGAAAAAATAACAGACATGCGGCGGAAATCGACAGACAGGGCAGTGAAACCTACAATGTTTACTTTCTGTTAGAGCTGAGTCTTTGATTGACAGTTTGAAGGGAGTAAGATATGCCACACGACTAGTTAGTAAACTTGAGGAAAGTCAGTAAGAGAGCTGGGAGAGTAATGTAACACCTGGAATGGACGACTTCTGGGAACAGCGTCTTATAATTCAACGTGTAGCTTTGCGCGTTGAAACATCTATGACATAATTTTTCCTGTATAATGCATAGTATAACATATGTAATTAAGGCAATCACCATCATCATTATCATCAACAGCGAAAACAGCATGAACACTTTATCGTTTCACCTCCGCCGCCAGCACCGGCAACGACGCCGAGTAAAGACGTTCTCGGCGTCGCAACACCATTCCTCATTAGAAGTATGAGATTTAGAGTAAAGAGAAATGTCGACTTTTTGTTTTAGTACCAAGTCTAGACTCAATAATCTTTATCATGTAGAAACAAAGTAACTGTTTCTTATCACCGTCTACAATGTAAACAGGTCCGTGCCTTCACCTTCGGATCTTCACCTTCGGAGCTTCACCTTCGGACCTTCACCTTCGGAGCTTCACATTCACCTTCGGAGCTTCACCTTAGGGACTTTCATAGTAATTTTGGATTTATCTATCACTCATCCTTCTTTGCTTCATTCTATCACAAAAATTCACTACCGTCGCGAAACGAGACATATATCTATGTAGACCCTACTTTCCGAAGGCGGCTTTGATTTTCATCTACAACTTACCCTTAATTGGACTTAGTTAATTAGTTGTGCCTTTTTTGCAAGTTTTCCTTTTTAGCCCTTCACTAAGTTTAATTTCTTTCTTAGTATATGTACATATTTGTTAAATACTGATGATATGGTGAAGCGGGGACATGGGAGACATACAATTACGTGTAGTCCTTGTATCATGATGATGTTAATGATGTTCAGGCATTAGCGACACAGAGTGTGCTATGAGAACGCAAGAGTGTGATAGATAGTCGAAAACGTCGTCACAGATTGAAGCTGTTTCTAGAGCACGAAGTAAGGTGATCAAGAACTGCCATAACTGTAAGTATGATATTTAGACTGTAAGGGGAGACAATTATTCTTTAACATCATTCTTTAACAACCATGCGCATAACGACTCTGCATGAATATTTATTAAGAGATGATACTTTTTAACACGGGACATGGCACAGAATCAAAGCCCTTTTGGCCCGTTCTTAAATATTAAAGGCATATGGACGCAGTTTCCAAACTATCTTGTTGTCCACATACCTTACACATTCATATATGTTGAAAGACGAAGATAATCCTTGGTGCATAGGATGTGATAAGCCATTCACCGTTAAACATTTTTTGTTGGACTGCATTGACCTTCTGTCTGCTCGAGAACGTTTTTATCGTAGCGTTGCATGCCTGAGGTCCCTTTTAAAAACTGTTGGGATTTGTAAAATTCTACATTACCTGAGAGATGTTGGTCTATATAATAGACTATGACGCACCATTTTAATCTTTTGTGTTTACATACCCATTTAAGATGTTTAGCATTTGTCTTTTACCTTTTGGTTTGTTTGAGGTTATTTCCTTTTTTAGATCGCTGTGTGTTTTACCGTTTGATGGCCCTAATGACCTTTTATATGTTGACGGGCCGTTAAAAATGTAACAATAATAATGATAATAATAATCTTGTTGTCCTTATGATATAGAAATAATTTCAATCAAACAGTGGATATTTTGTTATGTGAGAGATGTACAGCGTGACAGTAAACTGTTTGAAAATATCATTTTAATAGAATTGTCTCAATATCTTTTATACTAAGCCTTACATTTGAATTAACATGTAAGTTTTCAGTTTATATACATCACTTGAATTAAGAAATACTTACACATGAAGGTTACTGTTATTATAAAGTTTGGTTTTCATTTTTCTAAACCCTAAATATGATTATATATTGTAAAATTATATTGTTATATATTGATGGACATTCAAGACTGAAATCCATCACCAATTTCCCTGTTAGAATGCGGAAATGATTCTCACGCCACCTGCAAGAAGAGAGGTACACGGATTTTACTATATCAAGAAATCTTCATGCGAGACAACTAAACAAGAAAACTACAACAATGATTTCTCATTTTTAATCATATCTGTACATAGTGTACAAATGTGTACGTGTCGTCGGAAGAATGATAACATTAATTAACACAAGAATTACGTGATGTGCTGCAACCGTATTTCCCAGCATGCCTTTCATGGTCACGCCGCGGTTATGACGGAGGGTTTCTCAATGAGCTGTGTGGTGCTATGGAGGGGGTAACACAGCTGAAACACATCGTAGTAATTGGATAGTTCCAGAAGTGAAACCAACAGCCTTCAGCCATACAACCACGCCCCCTCGTAATATATAATCACCACACCGCACATAAAACTATACAATCCAGATAGGGTAGAGATGCAAGACGACCACCAGCAAAACTTTCTCATTTTTAATTATTCATAAATAACACGAAAATTGGTTAGGCCTAGGATATACGTCTATACTCTACCTATGTTATCGATTTGATGACTGATATGTTTATCATTAATGAGGGAGCCGGGATCGAGAAATCACCGACATACGTCACTCATTAACTGGTGATCGTCTCTAATATATTTTACCACGGGGATACCTTAAGTTCCCGAATAACGTAGCTCTGACATTATGTGGTGGTCTGTGCGATGTGAATGACTGATCTAGAGAATTTTTTATAGAAGATTTTCATAAATCCAGGAAGCGTTAAAACTCTGATAGAGGGACTCGGTTTTCATTCATAAAAACAAATTCTTAATGCCTTGGATTAACCGCGAAGGATTTGCGAGATTTATTTTTAAAACGTGAACGACCCTTGTTTAACTTGTATCAACTCATCAACTGACACGGTTGTGCCTTATTTCAAAAATTGATAAATAGATGGATGTGAAGAGGGCTTAGACTTTGCTCCAGGACCTTTAGGAGATTGAATGGAGTTCTAGTACATCTGATTTCAAGCTTCGTGTACTTAGCGGGGTCGCTTATCTCAAGGAGAAGGAGAAAAAACTTGATGATGAGAGACAAATCTCATTATTACGGAAAAACTGAATTTTTGAACATATCATGAATGATATTCCGATGATTTAGAAACGAGATGTCAGTGAATACGGTGTGAGAGATAAAATTGTCTGCAGTTCATTCGTTGAAGGATTTTATGAGTGTGGCGGATATTATTTTTGACAAACACCTTCTGGAAAAATAAGGAACTCTGTTTTTAATGAAAACATCCACCGCGAGGTATACCTTACTTTCAAGGTAAGGGCTGTAAACAATGTGATCGCGCTCTGTTAAGCAGAATTTAATTTTGTGTGTAGGAGGAAATTTAACACCGAATATTTATACGGAAAGAGAAAAGAAACACAATTATCTAAAATGGAAAAATCTACTGATATTCCATATCCAACAAACTTGAAAGAATGTTTAGAAAGCCAGGGAGAGAAGATATACAAATTCCCTAAGCCTTTTTTCTGTAATGCCACATGGGATACTATCCTTTGCTGGCCGCCCACCCTCAAAGGGGTCACTTTCAAAGTCGCCTGTCCGGAATATCTCGGAGTTGGTCCAGACAAATTCGCATATAAGACATGCGGAAGTGACGGAAAATGGGCAGGGTTACATCCAGGTTCCAAGGAATACCAAGATTGGGAGCCTGGATGGACAAATTACAGCGAGTGCACAGGGGTCATTTACGAATCTGTTGAAAACAATGACACATTTGATGTGAATGTGTCCGAAGCGGCCCCTATCAGTTTCGGAACACTTCCTTTGAATTACGACGGAGCGGACATACTAGCGTGTGTTTTACTGTCAATGTCCATCATATTCACGATGGCTGCTATCGGAATTTCATGTTTTTCCAAAGGAATACAAGCAACTCGAGTTCGCCTTTATCGCAATCTGTTTGCAGCTTTTTTGTTTCATGACATTCTCGATCTCGTGATGAATATCGGTCGAATTCTTCAAAGCAGTGACGTCATAAATGACGTGAAACCTTGTGTGGCCATGGGAGTACTCGTAACATTGACATCCTCTGCCATTTTCGTTTGGATACTTATTCTCGGGATTTACTATTTGCTGACCATGAAGAGCGTCGTGATCGAGAGAAGAATGTATTTTGTACTCTGTCTGCTGGGATGGTTCGTTCCTACAGTAATTACCATCACCTGGTTAAGTATAACTGTGATCTACGGTAAGACCTACTGCTGGTTTGGGGAATTATTTATCGCCACACTTCAGTCTAGCTTCTGGATAATTGAGTCGACGAATATGTTTTTCTTGGCGCTTACATGGTTTTTCATCATTTACTTTTTGTGTAAGTACAATGATCAGGAAACAAGCAGACGCCATAATGAAAATAAAGAACTTGCTGTTGAACTTGGAAACATCCGGTCAAGCGCCATCAAGATCGTAATCATTCTAACGTTTGTAACAGTCGCGTATCTCGTTTATATGGCGTTTGCGCATAATACTGACTCGGAACCCCTCGCATACATGTTTGTGTTGACTGTATATTCGCGTGGGGTACTGACCCCAATCTTCCTGTGCTATTTTGACGAGAATAGTCATTGTTGGGATGGTTTTTATAATGTAATCAGTACGGAGAATGTTGAGGATAGTGACGGAGCTTCTACTTCCTCTATGAGTATTTAAATGTACGTTTAGGCAGTCTGAATGAAGCTGAATACAAAATCACTGCTCTTAAAAAAATCCAACTTTTTCATCGAAAAATCTTCATCGATAGAATTAATTTCCGCTTTTGATAGTTTAGATTTAGTGTAGTCTTAATCTCTTTAATGGAAATCGAGCAAAGCTGATTGTGGAAAATAAATAACCAAAAAAATACGGCATTAGATATCCAAGACAAATTTCCATGATAGTGAAAAATAAGTGCATTTTTTCTTGTATATAGACATTCAAACAGCGGCGACAAGACAAAAGAATTCTATACACAATACAGAGCCCACATTCTGCAATACAGTGTTGTGAACTTGTACATAGATATATTAAATCTTAGTTACATAGCAGTAATATTGACGTATTTTTACACGAGATATCTGTGATAATCCAAGACGATGTCTATATATAGAAGTGTCCTTTATGTACTAGATGTGTTTTAATGTCTGCGCCAATATTTCATTTTTGTTGCGTTTCGTGTTCAACGACTTGCAAAAAGTAGAAATTAAATAGAAACGAAACGAAATAGATATCATTATGGCTTCGTTACTATTTCGGTTCTGCTTTTACCAAACTTGTCATTGTCTAGATCTTATCAGTTACAATGTGTAACAAAATAACTAACGCTAGCGTGACTGTGATTGTTGAGTCGGAATTTCTTTTAATTTTTGCTTTTTTTTTTTTAATATTTTGTATTTTGATTTACATATTGTGTATTCGTGACTTGTATCATCTTCAAAGCGACGTCTAAGTGATATGTATCATTGTAATTACATTTATTTGTATGGCAATGCAAATTTTAAACAGGAAAAGTGTAATTTATTGTACTGTAAATGACATCTATGGTGAGACGTAATTCTTGTTGTCAGTAGAGACGGCAAAGGTATACCGTCAAAATAACAATTCAACCAAAAGAATGTTGCCGTCAGTAAACAACTATATGATGAAGCACACGAAACAGCGAAAAGTGAAAGAATTGAAAACGTAGTCTTTAAACATTATAGTATGAATAGTCGTTATAATGCAATAGTACGCTAGGGTGGTTTCCTTAGTTCTGTCTTTTATAATGATCATAAATGCCATAGCATGCTATTTCAGTGCTTAAATGAATTGATAATTTACAGGACATAAAGCCTATAAATACAAGAAATTTTCCACGTCGAAATTGAAGTAGTTGATAGGTAAATAGATACTTATCTCTCTCCTAAATGAGGGGGATGCAAGTAGCCCCCTCACGTCGCCAGAACACTGACGTTCGTCGGTGTGACGGTGTACGAACAAGGGAGGAGTCGCGGAGACGGAAAACCTGTCAGTCAACCAACCAACCATTTTCCGTCTCATAAAAGAACCGATATGAGCAACTGAACTGGGATAGTACAAGTAAATACTAACGAGTAACCGATAGACAATCTCAATGTGTGTCTAATATTCACGAATTCCGTTATAGTTATAGGATGTAGCATTGAGACGTTCATTAAGCCTGGTTAGTTCCGGTCAGTAATAGTACAATTTTGTATCGCCCAGTCTATACCAAATCAGTAATTTATAAATCGCTTAGTCTTTACCTAACCTTCTTAACCAGTTGAAACTTTTTTAGTTTGGTCAATGACTTATAAATCGCTTAGTCTTTACCCAACTTGCTTAACCAGATTAAATTTGCTAAGTCTAGTCAGTAACTTATAAATCCCTTCGTCTCTACTAAACCTGGTCAGAAACATACCAATAGATTAGTCCTTATCAAAGCTGACCAGTGGCTTAGCAATCGTGCTACGTACCAGTCATAAAGTTATTTTGCGTCCGAAAAGGATGGAAACTATCAAAAGACCTTTGTAACGTGTTCTGTCAAATGCCTTGAGTTCTATCACGTGACCACTGCAACTCGTTCTGCCATGTGACTTGAGTACTATCACGTGACTATTGAACTTGCTCCGTTTCACTTGACCATTGTACTCTGTGTAAGCTGTTACCTACTATTGTAAATGTATGTCACAACAATTACTTTCAGTATCCTGTTACCATTGTATTCCGTCACAGTGTCTATTAAAATGTTGATATCATACTTATATTAGTCTTATGTCGTTTGTTTTCCAACACGCGCTAAACCGTCATGCAGTATTCTTGAGATGTGAAATCCAGCATAGTAAAATATTCAAGTCTTAGAACCTGAAGCGAAACTATGGTATCCGTTTCCGGTTACGATATGTTGAAGTTATATGTGTAATTACATATTTTTCTTTTTACACAAGTAATCTGTCCTTTATATATATTTGATTACTGATATTGTTTTCTTACTAAATTTAGACTGTAACATATAAAGAATGCTTGAGTAAGGGACTACAGTGCAGCTACCTGTAATGGACCGATGTGTGTGTTTTATTTCTCAGATTTCTTTTACATTTCTTCTTGTTTGTTTGTTTTATCTGAATCTACATTAAACTTTTTTAACCTCACCAAATTCTGACTTTAGAGAAATTTTCTGGAAGATGTTATTAACAAAGTATGACGTATAATTATATGAAGAAAGTGTTCAGTACTATAACACACACGAGCCTCGTTAAAAGTCATATAATAATCACTTGTATATTTTTCATACTGCAGACAATAAGCTGTTTATTATTTTTATAATCAAATTAAAATACATATGACGCCATTACAGATTTTCTTAAATCATGTACGTTTATAAATGAGGCTATAAACATCCTAATTAATTTCCATATATCGTTTTACCTTGAGAATTAAGAATATAAATGAATCTACATAATTAGAGATAAATGAAGATGGACTTTATTTTCATACATAATTAGAGATAAATGAAGATGGACTTTATTTAGATACATAATTAGAGATAAATGAAGATGGACTTTATTTACATACAATTCAATATCAACTAGGCTGTCACAATTTCAGATAGCTAGATGGCTAGATAGTTCAGCTGAGGTAAATACTTATACAGATTTCTATGTAAAGAATTAATTCTTCAGATAAAGTTCCGTATTGACTATTGTCAGTCGTATTTATCAGATATTCTATACAGAGAATATGCTCTGTGATAACAGCAAAATCTTACTGATCGTGTCAGGAGAGTTTTATAGAAACAGTCGAAAAGATCGTCTAATGAGTGCCATGTGAAATATTTCAAGCAAAGCTACGATAAAGGTGAAAGGTAATGATACAGCATATTCTGACAAGTATGAGATGCTTCATTGTAACTGACTGCTAATATTCACTTCACAATCAACGCTAAAATAACAAGCATGATCTTTGTAAAAACTTCACCACTGAATTCAATGACAAATGTGATGATTCTTGTCAAAATAACAGTCGGTGGAAACAAATCAAATCAGAATTAATTGAACCGGAAGTACAATCTCGTGTTCCGGAAATGTAACACAGGAAAAATGAAGAGAGTTTTGATTTCATTTGCTCTATAAAAAGCTGTAGGAGGTTTGGCTATCACATTATTACTTTTATGCTTAAATCACCTTGTCCTGAAAAAAGTGTTCGATCAGTAAGACATTTGCTGGTAGTCATATATACAGTACTGCCATTCGAAATCTGATACCAATGTTCGCAGTCAGGTATCTGTGCAGACGAGATTTTGATCCATCAATCTCCGAGTTATTTCTTTATCGGTCTAATGTACTTAAAATTGTTTATATTGACGTTAATATATTAGTCTCACCATGTCTGTAATCTCTCGCGATATTCTCATGGGAGACGGGATTACGCATTGTTTACTTTCTAAAGTGTAGTCAAAGTTCACGGTCAAAGGTCATAAGCAATTTGAGGCTAACTGATTCAACGGGTGGTCCGACAAGCTGCAGAGTTCATGTCAAAATGTAGATTCTTCAGATGTTTGTAAATAAATCAACAGATTTATATCAAAGACAAGATAGTTCATGGATACTTTATATTTCTAACTTTCAAAATGAACCAAGTTTGTGTAAAACAAAGAGGGGCCACCTGTTTAGTTAATGTCGGCAAAAGTTGGGACATAAATATCATGATAACAAAAGGAAACAGTTTATCTAATATATCTACTTTCAAACCATCCGGTCCGGGAAATAGAATCCATGGACACGCAAAAAGCAAATTATACGGCATTGTAAACTCACGGGGAATTTATGATTCCGTTTTGGACCTCGTCCAGAAAAAATAAAAGATATTTGAACTCAAAATGTAAAAGTCTACTTTATTTAATATAATAAATTTTTACATGCAAACTACGAAAATCACCTGACATTGACCTAGTTACAAACTTAAGATGTTCAACCCACCCAAAGAAGACTGAAAATGTTTCATGCCATTTTAGTAGCGTGACAATGAGATAACATGAATTCAACACGAAGAGAAAAAGAACAGTGTCTTTAATTATCTCACAGATCAAGACTTTTATCTAGAATCTGATAAAATTCACACTTACAGGGTGATTAAAAGCTCGGCGTCATTTTGATAGCCTGACAAATTACACCATAACTGTCACGTGCGCACGTGATAATTGGAGTCAGAGGTAGAACAAGGGATTGTAATTAAAAGCGACTTACACCTTCTTTTACGTAAAAACACTAAAAAATCATAACTTATATGCCCTCTGTACTTTCGTAGATAAAGTTCCTCGCACATACTAATCTATGATAACGTCAGTCAAGACAGACAAACCCTTTTTAACAGATGACGTCACTATGTTACATGTTGTAATGATAATGTAAAAACCAAAGGCGTCTCCGAAAAGAAGGCACAACAAAGTATTATTCAACAGTGTCAAGATCAGAGGCACTGCCATCGCTTGGGATTTTTGTTGGTTTTATTAATTTATAGCAGAGAATACCTCTGGAGCTCTACAGGCAGCATAAACATGTCAGTGCAGTACTCGACATCTAGCCACGGGGAGGATGAAATTGAAATAAATTGACTGTGATCAGATTATATTTCAAAACTGGTTTGTTAGCTTCTATAAATATGAAGCTTAGATTTTTAAATTTTATAAAACTGTCAACAAAAAACTTGCAAATAGGGAATTAAAATTTAAAAAATTTGAATACGAACTATTGAATGTTGAATTTTGCCTTTTCTGTCATTATTTTCGAAATTTTGATGGAAATTTATAATCTATAAGCATAATTTCAATCTAACCAGACTATTAGCGATAAGTGGTCATTTGATACGACCAGCTGACCGTACGGCCACAATTCGTCCAGTGGTTAATATATGATATCTTTATTTAGACAAATGTGTTGGTATCCCAGCGTTACATCGCCCCGTACATCGCTATGATAAACGTATTTTGTTAATCTAATCTACATGGTAATTAAAATACTTTAAATGGAATCCATATCAATGTTTGAAATTCAGAATTGGATTCCTACGTGGTTAATTTTGTGTTTATATAAAATATTGGGTTTCTCTGTGCTGTTGTGGGTGTGTCATAAGGCAAGAAACTTTACTCAAATTCCCATGATGACATGCGATGGTCCTCCCGAATAGTATTCAGTAAGGTAATCACAAACTACGACAATAAAAATGTTCTTGGCTGGTCACGAGACGAAAAAAAAAACCAAACAAACAAACGTCACAAAATTTGCGTACCCGACAATCTAATAACCAGTTTTCTATGTATTTATTGTAAATTATCGATTCCATCTTCCGGGCGTAATAAAGATAGAGCGACGCTTAAGATTTCTTTCATATCTCATTTTCAAAGAAAACCAAGAAGTGTAACTACGTCTTTAATTTTCTGAAAATTTTATGATGTCAATCACTGGATGTTTTAAAAAAGAGACTAAGAATTAAAAAGGGGACTTCAGCTATTCAGTGGCATTATTTTGAATGTGCAAGTCTCATCAAAATAAAGGTTGCAATGGTCATCGTATTTATTAAAATCTCATTTAAAGTACTCCTTGTATCCCTCCGTAACGTGTTGTGTACAAGGTTTGATTTTAACCGCAATATGTGATTCCCAAGTAGGTTTAAAAATAAAAAATCATAGTGATATCAGCTTCCAGTTTTAGTCCAGTTATTCTAATTTAATTTGATAACAGGAAGGTTTGCCACAGATATATAAGAATACTGTGTCTGTAACATTTATCTTGAGGAAGACAAGCGTTCGAATCCAGCCGGGGAATTCTTTCATATTATTTATGTCAAAACACAACGTACCGTCAGAAACCGGAAGCATCTGCTTCAGAACGAGGGACTAAGGTGGTTTGTTTGTTCATGGACAATTAGATACTACTCTAAAATACATGTCAGATTGTTAACAGAGTGAAATCAATGTCATGTTAGACATATCACATCTAATTAAGGATGGATGTAGTTATCGTGATTAAAAAGCCAAACAAGGGTGGACCTGTGAGATGGGGCACACAAACAAAAACACAAACAGCTATAGCCTTGTTTTCACAGGGTTCACCTTAGTACTATTAAATCACAAACACTTGCAGATAAAATTGGTGAACAAGAAACAGGCCTTTCAGCTGTCCAAAAATACCACATGTCGAAGGAGATGCGCAGTATACAAGCGTCAAAGTGATTTGAAAAGAGTACGCAACATCTCGTATGTGTTTGAACTTTAGCATCTTGTCTTCGTTAAAAACTAAAACTTATTTATATTTTAGAACATCAAACCCTTTAGTTTGGCAGCGAGACAAATAAGACATATACCCAAAAGGATTTTATGAAACAGAACATTGATGATTTATTTCCAACGCAAGAGATGCTACCGGTAAACAGCATGTTGACTGACAGCAATGTATGGACATCCATGTCATTTATAGAGCAATGAACGATTGTTTGCCGTCTCGTGTTTTTTTCATAACATATGCATTTTGTTCTTTGTATAAATGGTCCTCTTTATTATAAAACGTGTCTTCTAGATAAACATTTATATATCACACTGTATTGCTCCATTATTTACATATCGTGTAGGTACGTGTACTTTAAGAATTTTACTTTATTGATATACTTTGTTAATTTACTTCTTCATTGCAATAAAGAAAAAAAAAAAAAAAAAAAAAAAAAAAAAACAAAAAACAAAACAAAAATAAAAACAAAAAACAAACAAAAA